TCTTTCCTACAGGGTGCAGGGGACTGGGGTGAGGCATGACTGGCAAGCACCCCGGGTATGTTGTTAGACCTGGGAGCTCAGTATGGCCCCTCTCACCTCCAGGGGTTAGCTCACCAATTCCTAGCCAGCCATGAACATGCTTTGACTTGCTCAGTCCTGTTCATCCTAATTACACCTTCCTAGAGTGCTATACCTAATTTTCCTCCCACCCTCACTGTCCTTTTTCTCCAAGCTGATCTAGCTTGTCCTTTAATGGCACACCACCTCCTTGTTTTCCTTCGATTTTCATCCCCAGATACTCCACCTCTCAGTACTTACGTCCCTTTCCCTTTCACAGCCCTCAGCAGCCTGGTTTGTGAGTGTTGGATAAAGATGCACTGAACAAGTACTTGCTTTCTGAACTCTCAAAAGAAATACTGTTTTGGCCAACACAGCATGAGGCTGTGCAAGTCACTTCCATGGCAAGACCATTCAGAGGGATTATCCTCTAGTACTGTAACTGAGAATATGTGATGAAGGAATCATTGTAGCCCAGTCTAAGGATGAACCAGAGCTTTTGAAGTGCTCTAAGCTCACTTTCTCTGGGGCATGGCCAACTACTATGTACCATGGCTGAAGAGGATGTTTCCCTAGAGATCTTTGTCTTTCCCTTGAAACTGGCTGCCTTGAACATTAGACTAGTCAGATGGATGCTGGATCTATCCCCAAACCACTGCCTGGCTCCAGGCCTCAGTTTTGAATTCTGTAAAATGGGAAAAGGGGGAGCTGTTTCACTGAGGCACTTGGAGAGCTGCAGGTAAAAAAATGCTTTGTAGGTGTCCATGCCTTGTACCTTGAACCAACCCTCTATAGCCATTGCACCATTTCTGACCCTTATGATGTGAAATAAGTTTCTTGGTTTCTTGTGCACACCTTAAGCTTTTCTCCAGCAACTGAAGAACAGCCTAAACATCTGACCCTTCTGCCTTCCCCACAGCTGGGCAGAAGTCACTTCCTATGAGATGTGTGATGGATGTGTCCAGACCCACAGGTCACGGCAGTAGACAAGGATCCACTGAGCTGTCCCTGCATGAACCCTAAAGAGAACCTATGAATGTGAGGGAGCATTGAATACTGGTGAAGCACAAGCAGACCTCACAGGAGGCTGCTCAGTGTGCATCACCCATGCAGAGAGCAGCATTAGGGTACAGAAAGGTTACAAAATCAAGCTTACAGTGAAGAGGTGACGCAGCCATTCACATGGCCTGATATGTCAATACTGTCTTTAGTGGCACAAGCTCAGACTGATATAGCTAAACACAAAAATAAAGAGAGGATCCGGGCACACCAGCACCTTCCCTGCCTTTTCAGAGCCAAAATGCTAAAAACCCACATTTGCTTTCATTGTGTGTCAGCTGATCTAATGATAGCTATTATATTTCCCCAGCCTTTACTGGGCTTTGTTTTTTGAACCACTTGACTGTAGCAGCAGCAACAGGGCATGTTCAGTACACGATCATGAGCAATACTTACACTTTCTTAAGGTGCTGGGGGACGTTTTGACAAGCTTTAGACACTATTGAATCTGTATTTAGCAGGTGCAAAAGCCAAAGCTGCAGTCAAGTCAGTTAAAATCTGCTTACAGCACTGGAAGCTGGACTTTCCTGAGGCTATCTCAGCCCTTTCAGCGTTGAATTCTGTGCGCTGCCTAAACAAGATTAATTTATTTTAATTTTCATCTCATACCTTGTGTGTATCTTTTAAAATAAGAGTCTTCAAATTCCTTCTCAATCTTTTTAATGGCCACTTTGTTTTAGCAAATCTGTCCTTTGGGCACTTTGCATTGACACCAAGAAACTTCCAAGATATCTGTGAGCCAGACTTGGAATTTTTACCCCACTTCTCAACCTCAGTTTTCATATCCATCAGTTGCATTGGTACCACAATAGAAGGCAGCAAGAATGTTAGAGGCCTTATTTTTAACTTTTTCTGTGATTACTTGTACAAGTTCTTTTAGGACAATTTGGATTTTCTCTGTATTCTGGAAATTAAAATGAGTCATATTAAAGTTTTGATTTGGTTTTTGTTTGTTAAAAAAAAAAACAAAATCAATCTGGAAGCTATTACCACAGACGGTGGTAGGGTCTCTATCTCCTGTTGTTCTCAAGCCCTGCCTGCTATTCTGGGAGATGAGCAAATAGTCAAACACGTGTTACAGCACACAGTGCAAAGGTCAGAAGAGATCTGTATTGGGCAAGGGGTTAAGTCGGGTAATGTAACTGTCCTGGCCATAAAATGTATTTTAATGCTCTTGGGTCTTTTATAAGAAATTTACAGAGCTTTAGTCAGTAACAACAAAATTTGAGGAACATTATAAAACAATTTTGCATCCCATTCTTTAGAGAGTGCCTCATAGTCTTTTAAACAGCTTTTGAGAGCTGTAGTTAAATACTTTGAAACATATTTGAGACTGGTTTGTTTCAGGTTTTGCCTCCAGCTTCTTTGGCTTGAAAAACATGCTTGTTTCCAGGAAAGTGACTTTTGCTTTTAATTGGAACTAGAAGGTGACCAGGAGGCTGCTGTTTCCAAAGCTGCTGGTGGTTCTGTGAGCTTAGAGGAAGGCCTGGCTGCCTCTTGTAACAGTTAATAAAAAAAAAATAAATCAATTCCTCCTGTTTACTTTGGATCCACCTACGATTAATTTTTTCCTAATTTTGCAATCCTCTTACTTAATTTGTCTCAGAGTAACAAAAACAGCTCACCCCAGTGAACCCAACACTGTCCTTCCTTTCCAGTTGGTCAAGACATGTCCGAAGTGTTGCACAATTTCAAAATGCTGTTGCTGCCAGACCTGAGAAATGTGAAAACTCTGATACGAGAGACCTGAAAAAAACCAGTTGGCGACCTGCAAGAAATAACTGGAAATTCTTCTCCTTCCTACCGTCAGAAATAAATGCCAAGTGCAGGGTGGTGGCATCACCTACATCTCACCAGGACAGGCCCAGTGGGACTGAGCCCCTCAGCTCCCCTATGGCAGCATCAGCCTCTGCAGCTGCTCCCTACTTGGGGTCTAAGACAGCCTGGGAGGGAGAGCACAGACACCCCAATACCTGAATTAGACCACCTAAATCATTAAACTGTGCTAAACATCACAGCACTGAAATTCTAACTCAATATAATGAATAATTAAAAAAATATTTAAAAAATAAAGGGATTTTTTCCCTCACCTTTCAGTTTCTAGGGTTTTATCTTCTACTGGATAAAATGCCAAGCTTTTTCTCAGCATACATAACACCCTAGTTTTTAAAATGCTTGTGGCTCCAGGAGCTGGGGTTTTAAGGAGTGCAAATACCATCAACCTTGCTGTAATAGGACACGGCTGGGAGGTACAGCTGGTCCTAGGATCAATTGCTGGCAGCTGAATTATCTCTTCAGCTAGGTAGCCACAAACTGCCCAGCCACTCCTGGTGAGGATGAGTGTCTTCCCTGGCTGGGTGGGCAGAACTCTGGGCAAAGGTAGGGTTCTGCCAGTGGTGTCCTATGAGCTGTGTCCAGCTTGTGCCTGGTTTGGGCATAGCTGGGCTCGATGTGAGATGTGCTACATCTGGCTGAGAGCAAATCTCTGCTGGGCAAGTTTCCCTCCTCGAGACTGTGCGACCAGGAAGGGACTTTCAACTACCTGAGGTGTCCCTGAGCAAAGCTCAGCTTCCAGCCAGCCCTACCTGATGGCTCAGCCACAGGGGCTCAGTCCTCTTCAAATCCTGCCCAGGTCCAGTCATTCTGCCTGGTAGCTGTGCCCTGGGTGAAATGAGCTTGGCTGGTCTCAGCCTGTGTTTTGGCTGACATGTTCACACACAGAATTTAGCTGTGCAGTGTGGAGAAGATTCTCCTACAGCTTAGGGACAGGGTGTCACAGCTGGTCATGTTGATCTAGAGCCAATCAAGGTGGCTGTGGTGGGTGGTGTGACAGTAACTGGGATGTCCCACATGGACAGCAGGGACAGACCAGATGCACTTCTAAGTAGCTCCAGCAGCTGTTGGCCTGGGAGATGTCCTCAGTGAGAGACCACTAACCCTCTCAAACCAAGACCCCCTGCCATGGACTTTGTAGGAAACTCCAAGAGCAAAATATTAAGGGGGAATGGAAAAGTTTAGTGAGAGGCCTTTCTCCTGGGGTGAGAATGGCATGATGCACACAGGAGGTGGGAAGAAAGGACAGGTCACCAAGATGAAGGAGGAGCAGATGGAAGTAGGAACTGGCACTGATCCCCCTTAAACTCCTGGAGGAGACTGAGGCAGAGACAATGTTCACATATCTGTGTCCTAAGCAGCAGACACAAATAGCCTGAACCCAAGCCCCATCCCAAAGCACCCAGTGCCCCCCAGCCTCAGCAGTGTCTCCAAGGCAGGAGGAGGTGAGGGCACTCCCAAAGCAGCCCTTCCAGTTGCCTTTGCAGGGGATGGAGAGCCAGGGCAGTGCTGGTGGAGACTGAATCTAGTGATTACTTTAAGGGATTTGCTGTCTCTTTCTTTATTCCTCTCTCTCTCTCTTTTTTCTTTCTTTTTTTTTTGTTTTCCCCTTTTCCCTCCCTCTTATCCCTTTCGTGGTGCATTTGTCTTCGAGGAACCTGGGGTGTTCTTTTCATCAGTTCAATCTCTCTCTGGCACTTGAGTCCTGATTGGCTGAAGGACTTAGGGGAAAAAAAATCTTTAATTAAGTAGATAATCTCTTCTTAGGAAGTTCTGCGGCTCCATTTCACCAACCCCCTTTAGCTTTTACTTTAGGATTGGTTACCCTTCGCAGAAGTTGGGATTCAGGAGGCATACGCCTCTTCATCACACCAGGGCTGCCGGGTGGAAGATAACTCCAGCCCTTCCCTAATTTAGTTGTGTTTCTTTTATTTTTCCTTTTATTTGGTGGTAGTGGTACCCAAGTTGGGTGTTTGTTTTTCTTTTTTTTTTCTTTTTTATTTTTTTTTAGGATCTCCTTTCACCCTCTTTATTTGGATTTTATATTTCACATGGACCCTTATCTGGGCATCTTCTTCCTCACTCCCTTCTTCCAATCCTGCTGTGCCTGGTGAGTATTGAGAGCACCTCAGTCTGTGTCACAGGCAGGTGCTCTTCCCAGATACCTTAAGGAAATTCCTCTTCACCTTCCTAAATGTTCCCTCTTTCCACTTAGCTCAGTTCTGTCTTTAATGGAACCAGATAATTTAACTAAGTCCCAACACACTCATTGGCAGAGAGGTTAGATCTAAGAATGTTCCCCTTTTCCCCTGTTCCTTCCTGCAACAACTATGGGCCAAATCCTGAGCTGGGGTAGAACAGAGGAGAGTGGATGTGAAGGACCTAGCCCCTCACTTCCACTTGGGAAGATAACCCAATGGAAGAGCCAGGGATTTCTGTTTTTCCAAAGGCTCACAGTCAGCTTGTCTCTTGTCTTAATCAAATCAAGTGGGGCTTCTCTCACGCTCCTCGAAGAAGACAGTGCCTGATTAAGAGCTCAGAGCCAGTAGGGGTGAATTAGATCCACAGGAGCATCACTCTGGATGAGCAGCCTGAGACCCAGGCTCCTTGGCAGACACAGGGGCAGAATTACATGTCTGAAGTTAATGTACTAGGATTTCCTGGGGAGAAGCTTTTGGTACAGGGATTGCTACAGCTTGGTTTCCAACCACCAGAGTCCCGTCAGACCAGTTCCGCTGTGCACAAACCTGTGGTCATCTCCTGCAGAACTCTTGCTCTGTCCTAAGGGTGGGTTTATATTTATTTCCAGAAAATAAGGATGAACAGAAAGAGATTACCCTTACATCAAATCTCATGTCATTCCTTGCAGAGTACATCAGTCCCATGCCCAAATGGATTTGGGCTCTGTAGGTATTTTAACCTATGTGATTTTTACCAAGTACCCAAACTTTATTCTCCGTTGCTGTGATGCCCTGGGGAATCTGCTCAGTGGGTTACAGACTTGCCTCTAACAGCAAGGAAAGTCTTTTCCCATTCAATTACTAAAATCCTCTGCCTCCCCCATAGCAGATCTCTAGGGTTATTATCATGTATGGAGAAATCAAAATTACAGAAAGAGAAACTAAAGAGTAAATGGGAACTCATTCCTGTTAATCTGGGAGTGAAGCTTATGTTCTTTCAGAGATTTTCTACTCCATTCATGAAAAGAATGTGCAACAATTTGTATATGTCTGAATACCATAAAGCAGCAAACTCAAGATAAATCTGCCTTCTGCAACAAGGGGATATGTATGTTATGCAGCAGGCTAGGCAAGAGCTCATGCTGATTTTGTTTTTATTTTTCTGCTCTTCCTGTGTGTGTGTCTTCCTTTCCTCCATAAGAACAGGTTTAGAATACATTAAAAGAAAAAACATTTTAAAGAAACAGTTCAAAGGAGAGAAATTTCAGTGCACAAAGTAGAGTTAAATATGGAAATCTGATGCATTTTCAATCCAAAGTTGGATGTTTAAACTCCCTGTCTGCCTTTCAGGAGTTTTTATCTAAGAGAAAAGTTTATAGATCAAGACAGTCCTGCTTCTCTCTGCATGTTGTTCCTAAGTAATGAGTTCCTGAGAGAAAGAAAAACTGCAACCTTTATTTGAAATTATCATTTTACAGACACTGACCCTTAACTCTTGAGAAGAAAAGCAAGGTTTGTGGGAATCATACAATAATTCTGCTTGAAGTTTGTGCTGGTTTTCTTTATCTGATCCAACAGCTTAAAACACAACAAGTTTATTTTTTTTCCTATGACTTGATCACGAGAATTGGGAACGGGACAGGAGGGCAACAATAATTATTGACCAACAATAATTACTTTTTATATATATGTGGCCACTTCACTTCTCTGAATGTGGATTAGATTCTACCGTTTAACTGACCATCCAAACTGTATTTCCAGATGATCAAAATGTCAGGGTTGCATTTAGGAACTAAAAAACCCTAAATAAATACAACAAAATAGAGCGAAATGAAGGGGAAAAAAAAAGAAGTAAAGCTCCAAATGTTTTTGAGTTGCCACACAATCTCCTATCCAGTAGGAATAATGTAGCAATCCATAATGCAGCAATTTGCTTCCAAATGTTTTTTTTTACTTCAGCTGTGAGACTGCCTTTAGTTTCCAGCGACACTGGTTTGCTAATAACCTTGGAGAGTTTGTACTTGAGAGTGAAACTCAGATCCAAAGTGAAATTGTATCCTTTTGTGTATTTACAATAATGACAATAAAGACCTAAATACAGCTTTATAATTTCCTAAAGAGCTGAACCAGCACCACAGTAGCCTGAGTGCGTGATAAGGTATCAAACAAATACTTTAATTGGAGATTAGATAAGGCTCTTAGGACATATTAAACTGAGGAGTGAGGTGCTGTTACTGGTTAAAGTTGTAATTGAGATGGAATTAACAGAGGCTTATTAGTATTTGATATGTGTAAAATACAATGGGACAGCTGCTTGGCAGGGTTATTTGCTTTCAGATTCAACAAAACTATGACAGAGAACTTCTGCTACAGATATTAATTAGCTTTGAGATAATTTCCTAATGTAGGATGCAATGAAAATCTCTTGCCCTGGATTTGCTTTATACCTGGAGACACAGAGTTGCAGTGAGGCCCTGCACAGGCTGGGGAAGGGGCTGAGGAACCCAGTGGATCTTTCCTGTCTACTTGCTGAGGTCTAAGTCAGCACTGCCTCAGTCTGTGTAATGCTGTCCTGGAGTTTGAAGGTGGAGGGAAAGGGGGTTAGATAGCTAGAAACCCTGTGAGCTTTCTCTGAGAAGTGACTTCAACTGTTTCTTTTCATGTGTGTAATTTAAAAAAGTCTCAAAGTCATGGGCATTGGGCTGGTTAACACCCACTATGGATGCAGCTAGCTAGTTTAGGATTACATTCTACTTTTTTTTACAGTGGTAAGAAAATCTAGTAAAAATAAATTTTTCATAAATCACACTACATAGAGAAAAACGAAGCAAGATTCATTTTCGTAGTGATCCCTATTTGCAGCACAGAGATGACTCTAATGGCTTTGGCAATATTACACTACATCCATGGAACTAGTGGCTTAATTTCTCTCTGCCCTTGCTGGAGACTATGTACAGAATGGAGATGCATTTTTCTTAGCTAGATCATACGAGCAAAGACAAAGCACACAGATTTTGCCTCCATTATTATCTTTCCTTCCCTCTCGACACAAATAAGAAAAATTTCAGCTAGGCTTCAGCCATATGACAGAACCATCTCCCTTCTCCTGAACCCACTTGCCGCTGCAAGAATTAAATATTGGGGTGTCAAGTGCACCAAGTCTAAATGAATCCTTTCCTGCCTAAGTGCTACAAACCCACCCAGCAGCATGCCTGCCTGTTGATCCGAGAGCTCAGGGAAAATGCCTTCCATCTCTGCTACTTCATAAAAATGTTTAGAATATCCTGCTGGGAAATTGCTACTGTATCATTTACTCAGCTGCAGATGGCAAATTGGCATATCCTGAACTTGGCCTTTTTGTGAACCTTGAGGTTTATCCTGGGAGGAACAGATCCTCTGCTTCAATGCAGTCATGTCAACTGACACCTGCTAACAGGCTGGTTTGCTGTAAACCCTGAACTTGTGGATTACTGTCCTCCTCCTAAAGCCACCCTTGCAACTGCTCAGATGTTCCTAATCCAAGATGAGGCCACAAAGTGTTTGAAGCAAAACCCTCTTGTACACTGTGAATTTGGGGTTTCCTATCCACATGGGAAACAATGCAGATGGGATGTATCTCTTGTTTTGGCCATAAAAGCAAGATAAGCAAGGACTTGCAATTTTCTAGTTCTTGCCTGCCCAGGGGCATTTTACCGGAGTTTTCTCACAGCTGCTACCAGCGGCTCAGATTCACACTGACACCATCCTGAGTGTGGTCCCCATAGCAAAGCACTTGAGGTCAAGGCAAAGGACAGGAGGGAAACCAGATGGAAAAATGAGTTGTTCATGCTGCTACCCGGTTGCGTTAGGATGGGGACCCATGGAGCTTACACAGTCTGATTAGCCCCAGGTTCATGGCCCTGTGTGATTCAGGTCACCCGATGCTCTAATCACTCGGCTACAGATGCCGTCTCTCCAAGTCCCAGGAAATATTTAATTAGCTGTACAATGCAGAAGCAGCTTCCAAGGGAAAATTCCTCTACAAAACAACCATCGACTTCGTGCTAAAGTACCCACGGGGGCTGGAGCACAGCCGGGTCTGAATCCCAAGCCTGGAACAAAGGGAAAGGATCTTCTGCTCTCGCAGTGCCCTAGCACAGCTCACTCCCTCCGTTTTGACCCAGGGGAGTCTTTCTCAAAGAAAGTTGCATCAATGTGGACACATTTCCACTAAAAAAAACCCAGACAAAAAATAGTTATGCTTGCCAGAGTGAAACTTTGCAAACTCTTTCAACTCTTTCTAAACTGTGAGTAACAGCAAAGAACAGGTTTCTTGTGATTTTGACCAAGCTAAAATAATGAGACCTCCCTTTTGTGGTGTACCTTGGAGAGGATCTCTATGAGGGCAGTTCTAGCAGAGGTAAAACAGGCTCACTAAATGCAGGAGTGGTTTTCTAGGGCAGGGCAACATCCTGTCTAAATCTCTCTGCTGTCTGGGCAACAGTCCTGCCACCCTGTCTGCCCCTGCATTTATGGCAGGGCTGCACTTCGTCCCTCAGCTTGGGACAGCAGTGCCTGCTTCTGCCTGTGCTTGAGCCCACCCTGGGATGCCCCTACTCTGTCCATGCTGGATTTGTAGCACAACAGGACAGTACCTTTCCCTGCCTTACCAGGGATACCTGTGCCTCATTTGAAGCAGAACATCATCTTAAGAAGAAGCTGAAGAGCCCAGTTTCTATCAGTGCATTCTCCAGCATTTTCTCAATCACTCACTCACTGCATGGTCTCAATCCACTCATGCCACTCCTCTGGCCTCAGTGTCCTCCCTGGGGGATAACAGCACTCAGCATGTCTCTGGAGTGCTGGGGTGTCAGCAGGGGCGATGCTCCAGAAACTCACCAGAAACAGCGATGAGTGTTATTTTGCAAACCTGGAGAGACTGGAATTAGGTGTTTGTAGGAGAGATCTCTCTTTTCTCACTTCATTTCTGACTGGGGATATTTGGAGTTTGCTTTTGATCTTTTTCAAAGCCTCAGTCCTTTCTGCCATGACACAGCTAACGAGGATTCATCCAGCCATCCTCCAGATTCCTTATTGTGGTCACTGCACATGGTGGAGTCCTACTTGCACTGAAACAGTCTTTCTTGCTGGAGAAAGACTCAGACCGGACAGCACCAGCTCTGCAAGGCCCTGGGGACAGTGTTGGAGACCAGCCACACTGCCTGGCCCTTGGAGATGATCTCTCCACATCTTCAGTGGGAACATCAGAAAGTTCAGTTGTGGCTAGGACACCCCCCACCCACCCCAGTGTCCAGCAGGATGGGGAGGACACATATATTTGTGCAAAGCCATCACCATAACGTGACCAAGAGAAGAACATGGGGAGCCAGAGCTGGCACCACAGGAAAACAAGGGTCTGTGGTCTGGAGGGATGTGGCTGGGACACGCTCTGCAAAGGAGCAGCAGTGTGCCCTCAGCATGGTCCTACAGGGAGAATGGTGCTGGCACATGGTCCAGCTCCTGGGGCTGGGGGAAATGCTACCCTGAGTTAAATCAAGCAGCAGTTTGGTGGGGTAAAAAGCAAGGCTGAGGGAACAGGAAAGCACTAAAATAATGGGGGATATTGGTACCAAGAGAGGGGGACTGGGGTGATGGGAAAGCAAAAGGAGGGAGAAGTGAAAGGGTTGTAGGCTGGTGCAGCCTGGCTGGGGGGAGCAGGATTGGGGGAAGGAGATAGCACAGTCCTGTCTCTCAGGGACCAGCAAGGGGAGATGAGGGACACCAAAGGTGCCTGCAGCCAGGAGACAGGCAGACTGCGGGGGGGTGAGAGGAGAGCCCTGGGATGCCTGGCATTCCCCAGGCCCCTCAGCCATCACCCTCTCCCTGCTGACACTGTCTCTGTCTTCCAGGTCAGTGAATAATTTCCTGATGACGGGCCCCAAGGTAAGAGAAATCCCTTTGATCTCTGTCCCTGATTCCACTAAACCCGGGAAGGGAGGGAGACAGGGGCTCCTCTTTCCTACTCCTTTCCACCGAGCCTTGGCCAGAGCTCCCCTCACCCCCAGGTTTCCAGCAACAAGGCAGAGAAAGGCCAGAAGAGACCTGCTGTGAGCTGCAGCTCCTTGGGTTGCATGAGCCCTAAGCAATGTTGATCTACGGTTCTTTTAAGCTGGTTGGGGCCAGATTTTGCAGATTTGTCTATTGACACCAGCTAAGGCTGTCACCCTGTCATTTATTGCTTCCTGGTGATCCCATTGGCATCAGGACCCACATTCATCCAGCTGGAAAGGTACTTTCTATAGAACATATCTCCTTAATGAGCACAGCTAGAACTGCCAGGACTTTGTTCAGTATTTTTGACCCACTCACATCCTTGTGCTCCTTATTTTAGAGGTTTTGTTCCTGACCAGAGCCAGTTGTAAAATTTACCCAGTTTTTGTTCTGACTGTTCCCTAGAACACCTCCAGGCCCTAGCTCTTTCTATAGCTCTCAATGCTCTGGTGGAGCAACCTTGCCTCAAAGCACTGGTTGTCTCCCTGAGACTGTGGTGAAGGAGTCAGGCTGAGGCACCTGCTGGACTGGAGCTCTTTTGTCTCTGAGCAGAAAGCTCTGCTGGAAAGATAAAGGACTCCCTGTGTCAGAGTCTGGCTGGCACATCTAATGTGGCTAACAGCCAAGAGCTCATCCTTTTCCACCTGGGAGGCTCAGTCTTCATCCCAGCACAGCAGGAAATGTCATTGCAGCTGCTGGTGGTGAGCTCTGCTTCCCAGGGAAGCAAAGCCTGGAAGATCTCCTCAGCTCCGTATGTCTTGTCTCTGTAAGGTGGCATGCAGGTTATTTTCAGCTGAAAATACACATCATGTACATCCTGACCCAGTGCTCTGCCCCTAGGCTTATCTCATCTACTCTAGCAGTGTGGCAGCCGGGGCGCAGAGCGGCATCGAGGAGTGCAAGTTCCAGTTCGCCTGGGACCGCTGGAACTGCCCTGAGAGGGCACTGCAGCTCTCCAGCCACGGTGGGCTGCGCAGCGGTAAGGAAAGCATTGGATACCACTACTGGGACCCCCTCGCTACAGGTTAGAGCCCATGGCCCTCTCCTCTCTTCCCAAGTGCCTCCTTCTCTTCCCCATCCCCACCTGGGATGTGCCTCTCCCAGGAATCCTCCAGAGGGATCTTTCCAGGAGATCCTTTCACCCATCAGCTCCCAGACACAGTGGGATTTAGCTTCAAGATGAGGTAGCCTTGCAATGCCAGCATTGCCTCTGGACCTACCAAACACCAGCGTGAGCAGGATAGGAGTGTTCTACTAACCTCACACAAGTGGCTGCCCACAAGGCTTCACCACCATGACCTGCACATGGGCTGTTGAACATGCCATGCCTAGGTTGTGTCCCAGGGCTGAGAACCAGCACAGGGTGGTGGGGTGGCAAGCAGATGGATCAGGCTAAAGGGAGCAGGAGAGTATCAGTAGCATCAGGAGCAGTGCTCTGGCCAAGAGGCAGGAGAAAATTCTTCCCACAGCTTCCAGATGTCAGAATCACCATGGGCAGAAATGCAGCATCCCTGACCTGTGCCATTGCAGGGCATGGGGCATTGTCACTGTATCCCATTCCTTACATGTTTGCAGGTCCCAGGAAGTTTCAGTGCATGTCTGGCCCTCTAGCCCCATGTATGATGCTGGGCTGAACTCATCCCTGCCCTGTAAAGGCAGACCTGGTAATGGAGGAGAGCCCCAGCCTCTGGTGGGACTTGCAGCAGACAAGGGACCAGGGCTCCAGGCAGAGATGGACAGAGGTTTCAAAGCAGGGCCTTGAAGAGACAATTGCAGGACAAGTAACACTCTGGGACCATGAGTAGGTCCCTGAATCATTCCTGTCAAGGTTACCTGCTCAGATACACACCTTGCAGGTATTAAATGAAAGCCAAAGGCTTAGTGGAGTCAGCTGATGATCCCCACACTGATCCTGGTGGGTAGGTACGGTCACTGCTCAGAGCCCTTCCAGCAGAAGGTAAGGCTCAAGGGGGCTTTGATCTTTGGAGAGGGCTCCTTCCCCTTGGGGGTGTATTAGTGAGATGTGGGGGACATTTGGCTGTGCTATATCACCACTGCTGAGCTCTCACAAGGACAGCCACACGCTGTCTCATTTACACCCTTTGAAATGGCATGAGTCAGTCTGGATCAAATTCAGGAGCTTCTGGTTTTGTGCAGTTCAAGCCCAAACTAAGCTAATCTGGCATGTAGAGCCTCCTCTCCACCCCACAAAGCCCTGCCCACTGCAGATCTCTTCCTACACAGACTCCTGCACGACAGGAGTAATTTCTGATGCTGGTCTCACTGTGAAATCTTTAGCACACCTGCTGTCCTTTTATTCCCACTTGACAGCAAACCGAGAAACTGCCTTTGTCCATGCCATCAGCTCTGCAGGCGTCATGTACACACTGACTCGGAACTGCAGCCTGGGGGATTTCGACAACTGTGGCTGTGACGACTCCCGCAATGGACAGCTGGGTAAGGAAGGATGAGCTGCCACCCCTTGCTCATGTCCCAGGTGGTAGAAGAAGCTCTTCTCCTCTCCTCTGCTGAGGCCTGCAGAAACACCTCCCCATCCTGGTCCCTGCACCTGGAAATAATGCCCAGAGAAGAGTTTTGCCTGGTTCAAACCAAAGTAGCTCAGTGGAAGCTAATGTGGCCACCTCCAGCTTACACCAGCTCAGGCCAAGCCTTTGATGCTTTCCATTACTGTCTAAACAAGCAGGGAAGTAGAAGGGGTGGCAGTTTTTCTGGTTCAAATCAAGAACAATTCTATTTAAACTGCTGGAGGAAATTGTATCATACAGGCAGAAAGGATCTGATGCCATGCATCTAAATGGCAGGTCTTGTTAGAGCAGTGCTGATCAGGGACCCCAGGTCTCCCAGGTTCGCCAGGACCAGGGTTGCACCAGAGCAGAATCACCAGGAGGGAAAGCAGGGTGGATTCATAAACCTCTCCAGCATTTGTCAGTGTGGCAGGCACACGAGCACAACCAGAAGAACCACTGTGGCAGCACTCAGCCTTCACACCCTTCATGTCACAGTGGTACCCAGGCCCTCAGCCACTAAGCAGCTCTGGGTGGGGAACCCCAGGCTGCGCTGCTCCAGCTCTCCACTCAGCTTTCACAGAAAACACTGACATTTAGGAAAATCAGACCCTTCTAAGATGCCAATCATCACTCCAGGATTCTGGGTGTGCCAAAAAGGCCTCACTGATACACGTGTGCCAGGCTGGGGCTGTTTCAGGCAAAGGGGAATCTGTTCCCTCTGTCCAGGATGCCTCCACCAGTCCACTAATCCAAGTTAGCAAGATGCCATCCCTGCAAGTCAGACTGAACCAGCTTAAGTCAGGGTTTGAGAGAAGGCTTTAAAGAGCCAAAGGCTTATCTGTATGGCTGCTAATGCATGAGTTAACAGCTTCTGAATTCTGCTCTATAGAAAGCCTGGAAATCCCTGCATTTGTCATACAGGACATACTCCTTTGCTGCCTGCCTGAGCCACTTACTATCCAGGTCTCAGCAGAAATGTCATGAGCCCAAGGGAAGGAAGTCTGGGAGTATCACGAGGTGGAAGGCTGGATTTGCCCCACAGCCTGCATTTCTTCCCATCACTTCTGAGACCATTTCTTGCCCGCAGAGCCAAAAGCCAGGCAGACAAGGGGCTGGTTCTCTGACAGCACATCTCTTATCTCCTTTCTTAGGGGGGCAAGGCTGGCTGTGGGGAGGCTGCAGCGATAATGTGGGCTTTGGGGAAGCCATTTCCAAGCAGTTTGTGGATGCCCTGGAGACTGGACAAGATGCCAGAGCTGCTATGAACCTGCATAACAATGAGGCGGGTAGAAAGGTGAGCCCTTCTCTCCCTCCAGACCTGAGAGTGCATACCAGATTGGCTCTGACCATTCACTGTGGAAAGTCACAATTTGCTGTGGCTAAAACCACATGTCCAGAAGAAACAACTACCTTGCCAAGAAGGGGATGGCAGCAGTACAATGTGATGCGTGGTGTTTGTTCTAAGGCAGCAAAGCTTCTGTGGCTACAGAGTTAATGGCTTCCTGCAGTCCTCTTTCTCCTACAGGAGGGGAGTACTGTGGAGAAGCAAATCTGTGAGCTTCAGGACTACTGTGCAGAGAGGGTTTTTGGCAAACTCCTCCACAAGTACGGAGCCGTTTCTGCATGCACTGCAGTACAGAAAGGACCCCTCTGGGCTTTTTCTTGAATCCCCTCTCTCTCTGCTCACTCTGTAGGCAGTGAAAGGGACCATGAAAAGGACTTGCAAATGCCACGGCGTGTCAGGGAGCTGCACCACCCAGACCTGCTGGCTGCAGTTGCCTGAGTTTCGGGAGGTGGGCACTTACCTCAAGGAGAGGTACCACAAAGCCCTGAAGGTAGACCTGCTACAGGGGGCAGGGAACAGCGCTGCCAGCCGCGGTGCCATCGCTGAGACCTTCAGCTCCATCTCCAAGAAGGAACTGGTCCATTTAGAAGACTCTCCTGACTACTGCCTGGAGAACAAGACGCTGGGGCTGCTAGGCACGGAGGGCAGGGAGTGCCTGAAGAGGGGCAAGGCACTCAGCAAGTGGGAGAAGCGAAGCTGCCGGCGCCTGTGTGGGGACTGTGGGCTGGCAGTGGAGGAGAGGCGAGCTGAGATGGTGTCCAGCTGCAACTGCAAGTTCCACTGGTGCTGTGCCGTGCGCTGTGAGCAGTGCCGCAAGAGGGTCACCAAGTACTTCTGTGTGCGCAAGGAGAAGCGGGAGCGGAGCGGAGGTGGTGGGGCCAGCCGCAAGCTCAAGAGAAAGCTCTAACTTGCTTCTGCTGCTCCACGCTCCTGTCTGCCCCTCTCCTCTCCTGCCCTCCCCGTCAGTCCCTGGCACCATTTCCCTTTGGCATAGTTTTGTCTCATTCCCACAGCTGCCCCACTGGGGCTTGGGCAAGGCAAGAGAGCCTTGCCTGAGCCCCCAGGCCTTGGCTATGCAGGGCGTTAGTGCAGTGGGTGATGACTTCTGGAGAGACCCTCAAGTGTTGACAAAACAGGGTGAGATTCGGTCCCTACAGCTCACTCTAACCAGTGACTATGGTTTTATCACTGAATACACAGGAGGTCTTGGTGGTTCCTGTGCTTTTGGGCTTGTCTGTTTCCCAAACAAGTACCTGCTCTGGGCTTTTGAGTAAGTGAGATCAACATTTAGGAAACTGAGATAGCACCAACAGAGTTGGGCAACTTCAAGCAGTAATTCCTAAATGAGAAGAGACTTTTAGTACCTTAATAAACAGAGGCACTAAAATAAAGTTGTTATTGTCTAAACCCTACACTGTGAGGGATTAGAAAAGGCCTGCAACTCCCTCCTGCACCAAGCCAGCCTCCAGGAGGCCCCTAGCATCACTTTCCATCCTTTGACAGCTTTGCTAAGCTCTCCAGTGCTTTACTTTGCACTTGAAATGGTAGCAGCAAGTTTGAAGCTGCTGCTTGACCTGCCCATCACACAGCTGTCCAAAAGAGGGATCCCATCACTTGATTGTTACGTGCTTTCTCTGTGCCTTCCAAGCCTCCAGGTCTGGTCTCCCTTTTCACCACAGCATTCCTGACAAAGCTGACTGATGCTATAAAGATGCCCTCATGCTTTTCCAGTTCCTCTGTCTTCCCAAATCTCTCCCAGAGAGGAGCTAGCAGCTGAGTCCATTCCCCACCTCCCGGTGTACTTGCTAAGCACTCTTACCCTGTCAGCTAACTAACTAAATACTTCCTCCTAGTCTGAGAAAATAATGACAGTTACTATTTAATGGTGGTGTAAATAGGAAAGTGAAGCACTTTGAAGTTTAATTTATTGCACAGTTACTGTGATGTATACATAACAGTTTTTCCTCTACCGCTTATTGTATATATTCTATAGGCTAAGCAAGCAGCAGGAAGATTTGGTTGATGCATCTCTGTTCCCTTGTTGTGGTTGGAGGGTAAGGGAAGGTGAGGGAGGTAAGAGGCTGTAAGCTGCAGGACCTGGGGAAGCTCCCTGCACCATCACAGTGATCTTCCCTGGGGCTGTGATGTTACTGTCTCCTTTGCTGTTTGGAGTATCCTTTAGCCAGATGAGAAGTCAGCAGAACTAAGTTACTGGCCATTAGACCTGTCTTGTAGCCAATATTTGTAAACCAATAGCCAATGCAATAAATCAGTAGCCAAGTGCTTGCAAAATACTGTTGTGTCTAAGTAGTTGGGTGTTCCTTCATCCAGTTGTGCGCATGGATGTGTATAGTTACAGTCCTGGAAACTAAACCTCATCTGCTTACCCATCGGCTGAGCACATGAAGACATGACCAGTTTCCTCATGCGGCACAACCTTGGCCCCTCTCAGGAGGGGAAAGGGTGTGCTCTGTCCTCGAGCTTGCTTGAGGATGCATCCAACTGCATTGCAGCTGCTAGGAGGAAATGGGGTGGGAGAGGGGCAGACAGGGGCCCAGTTGCCCACTTCATAGCTGATACATTAAAGACACCCAGCAGTCTGTATGTGTCTCTTTGTTATCAAATAGCACCTCAATACTTCATTGGGAGTGGGAATTTGGACCTGGGGCAAGCTGGGGTCTCACCAGAGCAAGAGCACTCATGTTAAGCAAGAATCTGGCCCTTCAAAAATTACAAGAAACAATCTTGGCCTATTCTCAAGGAAAAGCAAAACACTTCCACTTCACACACAAACCACCAGCTGTTTGTGCAGAGGCTCTTATTAATACAGTAACGCTGCCCTGGGTCTCTCTTGCATCTCCATCAGCAGTTCCTCGATGTAACTGTGGAGGGAATGCATCCTTGGGCAGGGGAGCAAAGGGGTGGCAAGAACCTCTTGCCCAGCAAGGAGAACTCCAGCACGTGTGGGCTTGATGATGATGGCAAGGCAGAGAGGCTAACTTCTATCTCCTTTTCCTTCTGTGCCCCCCATTCCACAGCCAGCTGGAAACAAAAGACGTGGAAGCTGTTTCCCATTTCCTCCCCCTTCTCAGCACACAGCAGGCTGTGCTACCCCATCCCATCCCTGCCGACACCTCTGCCCCACGCAGTGATGCTGTTGGCAAAGGGACACGTGGGGCATCACCAGTGTGGGTCCCACCACCACAGGCTGCGTCGCTGGGAGAAGCTGGCGACAGCACAGCTGCGAAATGTGCTGACCTCAGCAGCAGGTCGGGGCGGAGGGCTCCCCCTCCCCGGCACAAGCAGCTCTCAGCAGCGAAGTCCCTGCTGCCTTTGTGGGCAGGATTGGATGCTTCCATGTATTCATTTCGGTTTAATGAAGGCGCATTCCTCAGAGGAGAAATATTTACATTCAGCTTCCCAGGTGGTCACCTTCGCCCAGATGACACACAAACGGCAGGGCCCATCCCAGCCGCTCCAGAGGGGAGCGCGGGGAGGGGCTGCTGGGGGCGCCGAACAGAGAAGGGAACAAAATGCTAATAAATCAGCCAGCCAGCCCTTTTCCCCTCCCCTCTGTGGAGTCAATGGAAAGTGTCATTTCACATGCTAATCCCCCTCCGATCTCTTTACAACACCTTTTCCGAAAAGTGTTTGGGAAAAGTCCTTGTGGCCCGTTTACAGCTCCCTGCCGCTTCGGATTCCTTCTTGTCTAAGGCCGCGGCCCCCGTGTGGGTCTCTCCCTCCAGCAGGGCTCCTTACAAAAAACATCTCAACAAAGACTTTGGAGTTCATCAGCCTCCCACTGAAATTCACAGCTGCTGAACAAACTAATCCCCTCTCTTGGCCTTTCTTCCTTTCAATGGGTTCTTGGCTTCAAAGACACTTTGGGAAAGGACTTTGTGGGGACTCACACTGCTCCCTCAATAGAAGTTAGTGCAAGCATTATCTTCAGAGCAAGTGGCTTTACAAACAAATACTGCCTAACAATCTCTGCCCCTCCAGCTCCCCCAAACACACACAAGCCTAGCCTGCAGACATGATGTTATCTGCAACAGGATTAGAGCTCTGTTTTCTGTGCCCAGGGATCCTTTCCTACTGCACCCCCTCCGATTCTTTGTCACCCAAAGCCTTAGCACCCAACTGGAAATGCTTTCTCTGGTGCAGGGTGCTGCGGCACCATGTGCCCACAGGGCAACGCAGAGGAGACACTGCCCATAGACCAGCAGCTGTTACCAACCGGCAGGGACAGTGCTACAAACGGAGAGCACTTTCCAAAGGGGCTTGAAGGGAAATAACACACCAGGGCTGCAGAGACAGGGCTTCTGCCACAAGCCTCTCCAAGCTCTTCAAGTGGGTCACCTCGCCTCCCCCTGCCTGCTGTCCCCACCAAGAACTTCAGGGATGGTGCTTGGAAGGGGAAACGTGAAGCAAAATTGAGCAGCAGCAGGACAAAGGGGCCGGCAGGAAGGACTCACAGCAAAGTCAGGGTAAGCAGCCAGTCTCCACAGAGTCCTGGGTAGCAGGAGGCAACTCAAGTCAAATGCATCTGAGAAATATGGGGAAACCTGTGCTTATTTCTCAGTGCTACAAGTGGCCTGAGTTAACAAAAGCAAGTGGCTGGACAGTGCAGGGTACTATAACAGGATGTAGAAAGGCAGAATCTAAGAAATGCCAGGCTTGCTAAGTGGTCTCAGACAGTCAGGACTTCCCTGATATAGTCACTAAGCAAATGTATGCCACCTGGGCTTCCTGTGTTGTGACCCTTTCTGATGCTGCACAAATGCTGCCTTTGAAAATCAGCTTGCGTCTCCCTGATGGGGGCTGCCTGTTAGCTAACTGTTCCCAGACCAGGCTGCGAAAGCTCTTCAAGACTCCTTCACACTTGGTGTTTGCCTCTGCCAGCAGCAGAACTGCAAAAGGCTGGTTTTCCTTGAATGCACATGCTGTGTCCCTAACACCCCAAAACTCTCATAAACCCTCATCCCTTCCCAGGAGCCCCTCAGATCTTCACCATCCAATCTTTCTGAGCCTTTGCCTCCTTCCAAATCCTCCAAACCTCAGGCCAGGTAATACAGCCCTGTATATTTCAGTTTCATGTGTGCTGACTGGCAGACCTGGACATATATACCAGCGATCTGACAGCGTAAAAAAGAAGAAAGGGTTTTTTTTGAGATTATATCAGAATTTCTTTTATCAGAAGCCAGTTTGATTCCTTCTGAATTTATCTTAGTCCCAGTGTTTCACTTTAGCCTTCTTACCTCCTTAAGAGCTTAAATGAAACCAGCCAACAGATTCATAAATAGTTAACACACAGTAAGAACTGACAATTCAAAGGTATAAATTTCCACACAGGTCTGATTCTCATCCTAGATTAAGCTGCATAGTGTAACATTTATTTCCAACAGGAGAGGATCTCATCTAGAGCTCTCTGTTTACTTACTGACATACTTCCAACACTCGACTGGAGTGCAAAATCCCCAACACTGTTGTGATACCCCAAGAGAACCTCAGCCAGTCTTAGGGCCTTCTTGTGTCTGATGCAGATGAACAGTCACAACTGAGGCAGCTGATTTGGAGATCAGTTCTCTGACTCTGCAGCCTTAGGGTGTGGGTAGGACCTGAGGTCTAACCACACCAGGACTGTTGCTGCCCACACCAGCAGAGCCCAGGGTTGGGTTTGCCCCACACAGTTCTCAACTGCCCCCTCACCAAAGCTGAGAACTCAGTTCTCAGTGGGTGGCCATGCAGACTGAGGAAATCCCCTGTAGCCAGAGGTGACAAGCTTATTAAAAAAAAGCACCACAATACACAGTTTTTATTTCACTGTTCTGTAATCTCTCAGTGCATCAAACTGCAGCAATAGAAACAACACAGCAGCAACAAGGAGGCACTTTGACCTGGAAAGGA